GTCGCTGACCTGTGTCGCTCTGTGCCGCTGAACTGTGTCGCTGACCTGTGCCGCTGACCTGTATCGCTCTGTGCCGCTGACCTGTATGTGTCTGTGTCGCTGACCTGTGTCGCTCTGTGTCGCTGACCTGTATGTGTCTGTGCCGCTGACCTGTATCGCTCTGTGTCGCTGACCTGTGTCGCCCTGTGTCGCTGTTCTGTGTGTGTCTGTGTCGCTCTGTGCCGCTGACCGGTGTCGCTCTGTGCCGCTGACCTGTGCCGCTGACCTGTGCTGCTGACCTGTGTCGCTCTGTGCCGCTGACCTGTGTCGCTCTGTGCCGCTGACCTGTGTGTGTCTGTGTCGCTCTGTGCCGCTGACCGGTGTCGCTCTGTGCCGCTGACCTGTATCGCTCTGTGTCGCTCTGTGCCGCTGACCTGTATCGCTCTGTGCCGCTGACCTGTATCGCTCTGTGTCGCTCTGTGCCGCTGACCTGTGTCGCTCTGCGCCGCTGACCTGTATCGCTCTGTGTCGCTGACCTGTGTCGCCCTGTGTCGCTGACCTGTGTCGCTCTGTGCCGCCGCTCCAGCTCGGACGGCCACCGTCTGCTGGTGAGCCGTCGGCCCGAGCTGGCACTGATGGCCGACAGGCCGCTGCCGGCGCCGGCGCCCGCCCAGGCCGTGGAGGCCAGTCGCGCCGCGGCCGCGCCCCAGCTGGAGCCCGTCAGTCCGTTCGTGCACCTGCACAGCGTGCACGACTACCAGTGGCGGGACGTGGCGCGTGAGTCGGGCGGGACGCGGCGCGCGAGTCGGCACAGCCGCGGACACAGACTCTCACAGGCCGATCCAGACAGGAGGGCGCCGACGCTGCCGGGGATATACCCACAAAACGTGTCCCCAAATTACAGATGCTCCTCAGATTCCGATATCGTAGAGCGTGGACGAGGTCAGAGGAGGGGGTAATACCATGGTAGGGGGAGTCCGGGGGTATCTGGTAACGGGTGGCAATCACAATAGTACCACCTGATATAATGAACCAGGTATAATGAACATGGTATAATGAACCAGGTTTAAATTGCAGCTCCGGCAAATGATTTGTGGTATCGTATGAGCATTTCTATTTGCATACCATCGTTAGAAATCATACCTTTATTCACTTTATTATAACCCTCGCCCCGCTGGGCGGCAATTTTGCCCCCCCCCCCCTGTGGTTTTTCCTGAATAGGAAGAAAACGGTGGCGCGCAGCGCCGCCAAATTTTCAGTACCATCCCGGGCATCAATTTGACACCTTAACACGAAATTTCAAGTCTTAAGTCACCTTAGGTCAGGAGTTATTGAGGTCAAACTGAGGTCATCGGTTCGGGCAAAAATGAGCAAAACATATGAAATCTTGAAACGCTCACAAAAGCTACAGTTACCAAGGAATTTCAAAGTTCTTCACATGGTCATTGAGAGAAAAAATGGCGCTACAAAACTGTTTCCTCGGATTTTCAAAATTTGGAATTTTGACCCCCAAAATTAAAAAAGTTGATTTTTAAGAAAATTGTCAAAAAACCCAAAAGTTTTTAGAATTTCGAAAAAAAACGTAATATATGTGATAGTCCTTGGCTCTTCTACATACATACCAAATCTTAGATCGATACCTCCTTTTTTGGCCAAGTTATAGCGAAAAGCACTGTTCAAAATTGATGACGTCAAATTTTTTAGCTCAATTTTTTTAGCAATTCTAGACCACGTAGCGCAAAACAAAGACCACCATTGAACTCCCCGTGACGAGCAGCATCGAATGGATACCCATTTTATGCAAAAATATTAACTTTGATATTTGACCTGATTTGACCTGACCTTGACCTGACCTTCACCAGAACATAATCTAAACTGGCCCCAAAGGCTGCCTGATCCACATAATCGCATTTGGCATATGAAATGGACCATAAAACATGCATCACATGATATTTTCATATTGTGACCCTCAGTGACCTGACCTCTGTGACCTGACCTGGTATCAGTGACCTCAAATAGCAGAATATGTGTTTGACAAACAATTCCCAATCGATGATTTTCAATGGATTGCATTTTACTCGATTTTACAGCGCATTTCTTGAAATGCCTGTAAACGGTGAAAATTCGAAATTTGACCTGACCTGTGACGTCATTTGTTTGACCTAGGTCAATGAAATTGGGTCACAAGGTAGTTCCCTGTTGGGGCTATTTAACGCCGTTTGCTGCTTGTCGCTATGTTGCGTGGTTCTCGGCAAACCCCAATACGTGGCGCGGGATAAAATTAATAGTAGGATATCGTTAAGAATGATCCGCAGAAAACTCCTCTGGCAGCGTTGTCTGATCTCCCCCCTGACCTGATAGCGGTGTCTGACCCCTCTGCCCCCCCTGACAGCGGTGTCTGACCCCTCTGCCCCCCCCCCCCGACAGCGGTGTCTGCCGGCTGCCGACACCGGTACGTGCACACCCTGTTCCTGGCCTGGAACGGCCGCATCAAGAAGTGGGTCGACGACGACCAGCTGGGCGCGCTCTCTGTGATGAGCATGCACGCGGCGGCGGTCAACATGGCGCGACAGCAGGTCGGTGGCGTTCGCGGGGCGCCGGCGGTCTGACCCTCCCGGTCGGCGGGGCGCCGGCAGCCCCAGTCCAGCCCAGCCCAGCCCACCCGGTCCCTGACACCGGGCAGTGCCGCGCTCCAACGGCTGACTCCGCCGGCAGAGCCTTCTGATATCAACTGGATCAGTCGCCGTTGCTATCAATGATAAAATATCGCATATATTGTCTTATAAAGTAGTTTATCTAACTTCGCAAACAATAAACAATCGATTACGGGACAAATTCAGTCTCATTAAAGAATTTACATCATTGAACGAATTATCAAGAGCAATTTTTAAGTTTAATATTAGTTCAACTTCAAGTTTAGTTTAGTTCAAGTTCAAGTTTAGTTAAGTTAAAGTTCAAAAGCTGTGTTCCAGCCTGAAATGCTGGAGTTATAGCCTTTAGCCTTATGCGGATAAGGACACAAGGCGTATAGTTTTAGGCCTTATTTGTTGTGTTCGCCGCCGACTGGTGCCGGTGGTGCAGTGTGCCGCCGTCCCCCTGGGACTGGTGCCGGTGGTGCAGTGTGCCGCCGTCCCCCTGGGACTGGTGCCGGTGGTGCAGTGTGTCGCCGACTGGTGCCGGTGGTGCCGTGTGCCGCCGTCTGGTGCCGGTGGTGCAGTGTGCCGCCGACTGGTGCCGGTGGTGCAGTGTGTCGCCGACTGGTGCCGGTGGTGCAGTGTGCCGCCGACTGGTGCCGGTGGTGCAGTGTGCCGCCGACTGGTGCCGGTGGTGCAGTGTGCCGCCGACTGGTGCCGGTGGTGCAGTGTGCCGCCGACTGGTGCCGGTGGTGCAGTGTGCCGCCGTCCCCCTGGGACTGGTGCCGGTGGTGCAGTGTGCCGCCGTTCCCCTGGTGCCGGCTCTGACGGCGCCGCTGCTGCCCACAGGCGGGGCCCGGCCGGCCGGCCGTGGTGCAGTGTGTGGCCACCGACGGCCGGCTCTTCAAGCGGTCGGTGCTGCAGCTGAACACGCAGGCGGTGCCGGACCCGACCAGCGGCGAGGTCAGCACCCGGCACCAGCTGAAGAACCTGCTGTGGACCGAACCGGCCGCGCCGCTGTACGAGCGCTGCGCCTACACGGACGGACGGCCGCTGCTGGCCGGCTACAACGCAGAGGTGTTCGCCCGACTGCTGGCACTGTATATGAACGGCCTGCTGGCCCGCACCGTGCCCGACCTCAACTGATAATACATGGCGATAGATGGACGCTGGTGTCGGGGCACGGGGATGGAGAGAGGGAGAGAGAGAGAGAGAGAGAGAGAGAGAGAGAGAGAGAGAGAGAGAGAGAGAGAGACAGACAGAGACAGAGACAGAGACAGAGACAGAGACAGAGACAGAGACAGAGACAGAGACAGAGACAGAGACAGAGACAGAGGGAGCTGTTCAGTCGCCGGTGTTACCGTCAGGCGCTGTTCAGTCGCCGGTGTTACCGTCAGGCGCTGTTCAGTCACAGTGTTACCGTCGGGCGCTGTTCAGTCGCCGGTGTTACCGTCAGGCGCTGTTCAGTCACAGTGTTACCGTCGGGCGCTGTTCAGTCGCCGGTGTTACCGTCAGGCGCTGTTCAGTCGCCGGTGTTACCGTCAGGCGCTGTTCAGTCGCCGGTGTTACCGTCAGGCGCTGTTTAGTCGCCGGTGTTACAGTCAGGCGCTGTTCAGTCAGTGTTACCGTCAGGCGCTGTTCAGTCACAGTGTTACCGTCGGCCACTGGTTTCGTCAGTGTATGCCAACGTCGAGGTCGTGTTTGACGGGCGCCTCCGCGGTCCGCCCACGGTCCTGCGCAAAATCCCAAACAACCGTCCGAAACTCGCCAATAGAGAAACGGATAGCCACCACAGCCCAGCCCGTGTCTAGCTGGCATACAAACATACAGGCCAATCATACCATAGCCGAGTCGGCCGGCACCCGATGGCGGTTGTGTCCCGTGCTGTGCCCACTGCCTGGCAAACACTGCTCCGGGGTCCGCTGTGGGTGCACAATGCACACAATAGCGCGCGCCCTCCTGGCTCCTGGGAGCTCCCGAATCCCTCGGGTCGCTGTAGAGATGCACCTAGCCTAATTCAATAAATGTGCCCGGGATTCATCAAGAAACCCCTTTCCTATCAACTGTTTGCTGTGAAGTAGTGACGTGCCTTTTCTCGATTTCAATGTTGTGGTCTGATGAGTCGTTTTCTAGTATTTCACGTTTGCGTATGGGCCCAGGGGCACTCCTGCGTGGAAGCCTATCGGCTATCAGCTTTTAGGCAAATCACATCTGAAGGAGGCCATTTGGCCCACGGATCATTGCAGCTTTATGTTTAAAAAGAGCACGTTTGCCAAACCCGACGTGGCACGAGTGGAAATGGCGCGCAGTTACCACCCCCTCCCCCCCCCTCTCGCGTCACCAGCGCGGAGCTGTGCTTTGCTTGGTCGGTGGAGTTTGCCCCTTTGAGGTATGCAGGCCCGTTGGCCGCTGATCCGCAGACTGCCGCAGGCACCATTGGGTCACGTGATGTTTCTGACTGGCCGGTCCACATTGACCGCCGGCCAACAGAACGGAGAGGCTGGTTTAGTTGAGAATCGAGTAGTGGCGGGGGAAGTTAGTTTGTTAAGGTGAGTCAAATGTTTTAATCAGGGAACGTTTTGTTGGTCGTGCATAAGAATAAGACATTATTTCATTACGCCTGTAACTACAATATGAATTATGATCAATCTAAAGCTGTTTAGTATTGTGACACCTATTTAGTGGTTGCGTCTCTAAAGGTACTACGCAAGATGCCGCTTATAAAAATCATGATTCTTGTTTGGGGGCAACTTTGGTAATAATGTAAGGAAGGTGCATCGTAAACTCAATTCGTTTGATGGTCTAGTTACCCGCAAGCTATCAGTAAACGCGGCTCGGTCCACGGCCCAACCTCTGTTGTTCCGTCGGCCATTTTTATAGTTTTGTACTAGCACACTTCTTTCCTACCAAGACAACTAGTAGTGAGATTCTGAAATTTGCGCCTTTTTGTTTTAAATGCACATTTTTATTCATCATAAATGTTTTTTGCTCTGTTCATACACCCTTACGTTGTATCTTTTGAATATAAGTGAGTCCAATAATAATTGCTAGTTCAACAATATTTAAGTATACTATGATTGTTTGGAATAATCTTTGCCAGTTGTTCCAGTTGTGAAACGAGGGGCTGCCGCCGGTTGTTTGCCGGAATTTGATGCTAGAAAGTAAGCGGCGAAAAGTAAAAGGTAATTGCGAAATATTACTAAGCATCGCTTGAAGCGTTTACAAGTAGCCCTGTGTACCCAAGCAAGTGGATGAATTGCTTTTGACACCCTTTTCTTTTCCAGAGAGGAGTTTTCCGGTGACCGTTATCGGCGCAGAACGAACATCTGCTTTGTTGAGAAATTAAGCCTGAATCAGAATACACGCCAGGCATTGATGCTGTAAGGTTTTGCAAGCATTCTGGTGTGAAGTAAGATGACTGATGTGCGGCCAAGCCCAGCTGCAATGAACCACAACATGAGCTCCAGCTCCATGTCAAGTTTAAAGTAAGTACCTACCAATACCTACACATGCTTGAGATGATCCTGCAAGCTTTGAAATTGTCTTACTCTGAGGCCAGTACAACCAAAAGAAAAGATGCAAAATGACCTGATCAGTCGACGCACCGTAACCCTGCGCTCAATGTCTTTCGGATGATGGTTCTGCGCCGTCCGGCCAATCCCGTTCAAGGTTAGCGGGGGCTCGGCTGCAGTTATGGAACGTGGTTTGCTGGACGACTTAGAATCTTCGGTAAAAGTATACATTAGGTCCGAGTGCCTGTTAAAAGATAAAGTTTTCACATTCTTACATTATTTGACATCCTGAATCCAAAAATGATGCTTACATGTCCTGGAGACGTGGAAAAAACACCAAATCACCAATCGCACCAACCCATTACTACACCACAATACCACCCGGCGGCAAAAAACCACGCGACGAATGAAAGCGTGGGCGTTTCTAGCGCTGCCATATTTAGATTGCTGCCATTTCAGGGGAAATTTTGGGAACCGGGGTTTTTGGGTGGGGAAAAAGAAAACGATACAAATGGTGTTATGAAAGTGACGTAATAATAACAAAAAACAAGAACCTAACCTAACCTAACCTAACCTAGCCTAACCTAACCTAACCTAACCTAACCTACTGATGTTTGCCTACCGGAGATAAGGAAAAAGTTATTTGCAGGAATAGATTGCAGGCAAGAGTAAATCAAATATTTTTAGGTTAAGTGGTCATGCATCAGGCTTCAGGCCTTCGGCCTGAAGCCAGATACATAACCACTTAACCTAAAAATATTTGATTTACTCTTGCCTGTAATCTCTCCTAAGGCATTGCCTTCGGCACTGCGCTGCTTCGCCGCGAGAAATATTATGACGTCATTATTCACAGTTGAATAGCAACTGTTATATATATCATCCTTGATTTACTCGACCTTGGCCAGCTTTGCGTAAGTAATCGCCGTCCGGCACATTGCGCTAGCGTGGAGTGCGGTAGCGGTTTGCGGTAATTGTAAGTATTCCATAGTTGCTTTGATACTTGGTTCCAGAATAAATAACTATCAGATATGAAATCAGGAGGTCAAAATACATCGTACAGTGTGCTTTTCATAATCGGTTCGCCACTCGGACCTCACGTATACTAATACCGAATCTTCGTCGTCCGAGAGACATCAAACGCGAGGTGAAGCTCCAATAAACAAACAAACAACCAAAAGAAACCATTGGCTCCAGATATATATGCCAAAAGTCACCCCCAAAATTTGCTAGGCATAAGCAAAAACGAAAAGCGGGTAGTCTTAAAGCAGGTATCACACTTAATTTTGCAACCAAGGAGAGGTGCTATACCCTGAGCTACTTTCTAATCAAACCAGACCAAACCAAACCTAACCAAGCCTGACTTCACCTTTCCAAAACCTACTACCTACCTAAAACCTACCACCTTAAACCTACAACCTAACCTACTGTGCGTCTCTTGGTTGCATAAAACAAGTGAGACGCCTGCTTTACCAGTTATTACTACCTACCTACTGAAAAGTGATTCAGTTAGCCTAATGCCCATGTTTTCAATTTAATGGTTATTGTTCAGTTTGGATGGTGAATATTGTGAGATGCTTGAATTGATACAGGAAACAATGGCAGACAATTTTTCAATTGGTAACAGAGTTCTGGTCTCGGTCCCATATACCTTTTGGGTTTGTTCAGGATTTGATTTGCATTTGATTACTGAGCTTCTTAGGTGGTCTTGCATGAACTTTTTGGTCCTTTAAGGTCCTATCTCAATGAAACATTGAACTATATGCCACAGTTGTCAAAGACATGCCATTTCAATTTTGAACTTCCTGCAAAAAGAAACAACCACATCTTACCAAACATGTGACCCAAGGCCTGCATAATACCAGCTCAAGCTCAAAAGTTATTTGTGCCTGATGGCTGAATTAAAGGTTATAGGATCAAGGTGATTAAGTGCCACCTGATCCAATCGGCCTAGCTTAATATCTAGGTAATCAACACCTACTTAGTGCTTACTTAATACCTGCATGACACCTTACCTTTCAAAGGTGATGGATGCATTGAGCAGTAAGACTGTAAGATGACTCAATGGATGTGATTATTTTCCTCAAGCTAATATATTATAAAGTAATAAACAAGCTGTTTCAGTGCTTTTTTTTAGATCTGGAGGATGTAAATTGAATATATTTGCTGTTGTTGAATCAAAATGTACATGCTGTTTATGAGAGCTGAGGTTTTTCGTGAATAACGCGAAAACCGCGGCGCAACGAAAGTTCGCATGACTTTTCCCTCATCTATTTAACACTTGGTGTGCAAATTTGAACCTCCTACATTTCAAATTCAAGGTCATCCAGGTCACTTCGAATGACCCAACCTCAAATCACTTTTTTGCAGCTTTGTCACGGTGTCAGAGCTACAGTAGATGATGGAGGCCTTTGAAAGTCACAGGATGTAATGAGGCCATGTAATGAGGAAGCTATAATTTGTATATCTCTGAATTTTGATATCGATGATCTAACCTTCCATGCAGTGGGGGGGGGGGGGGGCATTTTTTGCCCCCTTTAGTTTTTTGATGTAGCTCCAGAACCGCTGCGCCGAACATCACCAAACTTTCAGTACCCTCCCGTAAATAGCTTTAACACATTGTGACCAAAAAGAAATTCCAAACCGGGCCGGTGCTCCGAGACTTCCGCGCCGGGCTGGGGGGGGGGGGGTCTGAACACCTCCACCCCTTCTAACTCGGCTCCTGGGCCACGAAGCGACACGCGGTAAGCGGCAGTCGAAAGAACGTCCAAAATAAGGACGAAAACGCTTCGATCATTTTCTGGGTCAGGTCAAAGGTCAGGTCACCAGAGGTCACCAAAGGTAAAATGTTGGCTATTTCAACATTTTGGAAACTGCCAACGGCTATCTCGGGAACCGATAGAGCTACAGCGCCGCGGAAAAGCGCATTCGATAGCTCTTTTGACGCGCTTTCGAAAACATGTTCTCAGATTTGACCTCAGGTTAACGATTTTGCCTCCAGAGGGCAAAAACTCCAAAAATAACCGTTTTTACGAAGTGTTTTTCGGCAAACTTTTGACTCAAAAGAGTCATGACATTACTTTTGCCAGCATCGTGTTCCTCTCGTCAAGACGCGTCGAATGAACTATAAGTTGACCATGAAAATTCAACTTGAAAAATTGACCTCGGGTCAAGGTCATGACCTGACCGGAAAAGGTTATGTTGCATATCAGTCGATCCGCAACGTCGAGCCGAACACATCGAAGGCGTTTTCATCGCTCTGGCATGCCGCTATCAGAAGTTATTAACGAAAAACTGTTAGATTCTTTTCGTGACCTGAGATGACCTCGATGACATAACGAGGGGTCACAGTTGCCATTTTCCGGTTCAGTGTGTCAATTTTACCTGCGTCTCGATGTTTGAGAGTGTCTAGAATGGCTTTCGTGCAAAACAGACGCTTTTCAATTTTCTCCCATTGACTTATAATAAAGCAGAGGCCGCAAAATTGACCTGACCTTAGGTCGCCGATATCAAAATTCTGAGATATACATTTTATAGATAATGTTACTCTTATCAATCGCTGCAAGTTTCAAGGCAATCGTTCAGTCGGGGTAGCTATGATGAGCATTCTTATTTTTTTTTTTAGTTAAGGTCACTCGGTGTGACCTGGTGACCTGACCTTAATCGACATGGGTCTGAAATTTTCACAACATGTGCGGAAAAGATGCACGAACAGGTTTGCCAAAAAAGCGGCGCCGTTTTTTAGATATCCGCGAAAAACCGCAGTTGGGGGGGGGGGGGGGGTTCAAACACCCCCTGGCCCGGCGCGGGTTAACCCTCGCCCGTAAACGGTGTTTTGCCACCTTCGCCCATGCAGGGGGGGGGGGGTTGGTGCGACCCCCCTGGCGTTTGAAAACGGAGCGTCGTAGAGCTTAGCGGAAAAGACCAACGGATTGCTCTCAACGAGATCTCGCGATTGGGGGTATATTTTTTGGTCCTAGGTCAACATTTGACCTACTTATGACCGGTAAAGGTCAAATTTTCGGAAAAATCTAACTTTTTCAGATTTCCGCGCCGATTGCGGAAAAACGGTAAGAGATATCGACTTGAAACCTTCACTATCGTGATCCTTGATCAATTGTCTATCGTTTGGTGTGTGTTTCGATGTCATAACTCTAAAAATGATGCGTTGGGAGCATCGGAAGTCTACAAGGTCATTTGTGCATTGGGTCACGTCAGGCGTGTGACGTCACTGACCTGACCCTGACCCAAAATGAACTACAAGAAACAACCGACGATGCCTAAAATGGATAGCAAATTCGCATTCAGGGCATCATAATACCCCGAAAAGGCATAAAAGTGCAAGAAGTCATTACAGGTCAACCGAGGTCACTGACCTTACCTTGACCTTTAGTAACCTTCAAAAGGTCAACGGACATTGTGCCAATGTCAAATCAGCCAGTTGTGATTCTAAAACAACCCATCAGTGTGTCAGGTCAGTCGGCATTTATACAAATGTGAAGCAATCTTCATTTTATATTAGCGTAAATCTGGCCATAGGCGCAAAATGACCTAAGTAGTCGGCGCGCCCTAAAGCCCCAATTAACAAACAAACAAGTAAATCTGGCCGGAGGTTGTTCCCTTTATGACGTCATAACTCCGTGACCTGACATGACCTTGAAAAAAAATACCAAAAGTTGCGCAAAGGATGCCCCAAAGGGTACTGAAAATTTGAGCAGGCTATCTGAAACGGTTCGGCGTGTAGCTAAGAAAAACCTCAGGGGGGGGGTTGCACCAACCCCCCCCCCCTACATGGGCGAGGGTTAAACCTTACAGTCGCCCACAGGCCACAGGCTGCACCAATCACGCGAAAGAGACGCTCAAGAAAAATTGGCTGCCTGGTATTATCGCAACTGCTTTTTTGGCTGCCTGGTATCTGCGCAACTGCCTAACCTAACTCATATCAGATAAATTAATGGAAAAAAGGTCCAGAATATATTTCCGAACTTGTTTTTTTTTTTATTCCACCGAAGAAGAACCAAGTTCGGAAATATATTCTGGACCTTTTTTCAATTAATTTATCTGATATTATGAGCATAAGGTCAATTTTACCATTTTTATTGATTACAATCATACTCAAAGAAACGTTGTACCATATAAAACCATCAACCGCAAACTAAACAGCAATTTTTATGGCTGGTAGTAGAGCATCAGCGATCTGATAGCTCGGCGGCTCATGTGGGGGAACTGTGCTCCGAATATGAGTGACTGTGTCCGGGTTACCCCCTCGCTGGGTACGAGGCCGGTAGCGGACTGCCGCCGGCGGCGCTCCAATTCAGGGTCGCGTGACGTCAGCACACCGGGCGGCTGGCCCGGGACGCGACGGCCAGTCATCGCTCGTAATGCCCCGACTCATGTAGGGGTGGTGGACGGATGCCTCAGTAGTCCAGCGACCATAGCAGTTTGAAACATTTTATAGATGGATGATGTTTCTCGACTGTGGCATCTATTCGAATATGCCCTCCCTGAACAATACCTACTGCTCGTTTTTACATTTCAACCAAGGTTTTTGATATCTGCTGTCAGTTTGGTTTTGGTTTCCCAATTGCTCTGAAATTACATGTCACCAGTAACGTTACGATGGTTTTCAGTTGTCGCTGTACCTTGTCGTTTGGCATTGCTGAGTGATAACTGGTTAGTGTTTCACGGCATTGCGCTGCAGCGCGCTGCGCGTAGCGGCGCGTTGGGTTTCCATGGAAACAAACAAATTTGGAAGCTCGCAATGCTAAAGGGTCGAGCTGAATTCCGAACGCCGCACCAATACAGCAGCGCGCTGCAGCGTACTGTAGCGTGGGGCCGTGAAACAGCGCCCGGGCAGCATCGGCGGCGCGGCGCGTCGGCCGGCGGCCGGCGGCCGGTGACACGGGAGCGGGTCGGTGCGCGGCCGAGGCAAGCAGTGACGCTGGCCCGCTCCCGTGTTGCAGAACGACGCAGCGCGGCCAGACGCTGCTGCGAGAGCTGGACCACCTGTCGCTGACGCACCCGGACGAGTTCCGCGAGCGGCTGGGCGCGCTGAAGCACAAGTACCAGCGCAGCGAGCAGCAGCTGCAGGAGCTGGTGTCGCACCACGAGGCCGAGCTCCGGCGCGCCATGCAGCTCTACGAGAACGTCTCCGGACGCATCTCGGCCACGCGGACCCGGATGCGTACCGTGCGCGAGAACCTGGTCAACTGCAAGATGCTGCTGCACTGCAAACGCGACGAGCTGAAGAAGCTCTGGCAGGAGGGCGTCGAGCACAAGCACATGTTGTCGCTGCTGGAGAAGGTGGAGGAGCTGCGCGGGCTGCCCGACGCCGTGTCGTCGCACATGCAGCGGCGCGAGTTTTACCGGGCCACGCGCCGTCTGACGGACGGTCTGGCGCTGCTGGACGGCCAGCTGGTCGGGGTGCAGGCGCTGCAGGAGGTCCGCGCCGAGCTAGAGGCGCTGGCCGACGAACTGCACGAGCGGCTGGCCGACGAGCTGCAGCGACACCTGTACGAGCAGAGCACGCAGCCGGCGCTGGCGGCGCTGCAGCGGCACGGCAGCGGACGCTGCTCGGGCCGCGCCGGCTCCGAGCGCGGCGACGAGCAGCGCAGCTCTGGCCGCTCGTCGGCGCGGGAGCGCGAGCGCCGTCCGCTGGTGGACATCTCCGGCCTGCTGGGCGGCCCGGCCGGCGGCGAGGAGGAGCTGGAGGCGCTGGACGGCGGCGACGGCGCCAGCCACCCGGCCGTGCTGGTCGAGTGCCTGACGCGGCTGCAGAAGCTGCCCGACACGGTGGAGGCGGTGCTGTCGCGCATGGAGTCTGAGCTGCTGTCGGTGGTGGCCCGCACGTCGCGCACGCTGCAGGAGCAGCGGTCGGTGCAGGTGGTGGCGCCCGCCATCGGGCCGGCGCTGGTGCAGCCGGCCGACGGCCAGGCGCTGCTCTCTCAGCTGGTGGACGCCGTGGCCGACCAGTTCCGCGCCGTGGCCGCCACTCACGAGCGGGTACTGGTGGCGTTCCGGCGCTCAGCCGCCTCCCGCGGCCTGGACACCATTGCGCTGTACAGCATGGACGACGTCTGGGCGCGCATCCAGGACGTGCTGAAGTTGGTTACATCCGAGTACCTGGATGTGCCGAGCGCGGGCGGCGCGGCCGCCGCCGACACGCCTCTGACGCCGCGCACAGAGACTGCCGCCGAGCTCTCCAGCCACTTTATGCGCAAACGGCCGCCCCGCGTCCGCACGCGGCAGCTGTTCAATTTTGACGCGTCGTCGACGAGTCTGAACATGGGCGCGTACCTGCAGGAGAAGGCGCGTCTGTCGCGGCAGCGCGGCGAGGGCGCGGCGCTGCTGGCGTCTCCGGGCGAGCGGCGCCGCCTGGTGCCGGCCGACCCGCTCAACATCACGCTGCTCTACCCGCCGCTGATGCGGCTGGCGGCCGAGATCGAGGAGAAGCTGGGCCAGACCTCGCACTGTCCGCTGCACAGCTTCATCAACGACTACATCAGCGAGGAGCTGCTGGGCCAGCTGCGCGCCGAGGGCGCCCTGCTCGCCGAGACGCGCATGGACGGCTGGAAGACGGTCCAGGAGCCGGCCGAGCTGGTGGCACTGGGCGCCGCCAAGCCGCTGCTGCAGTCGGCCGTCCAGGTGCGCCGCTTCGTGGCCTCGCTGCGCACCTTGATGACGTCGCTGCCCGACTACTGCAACCACTTCCTGTCCATCATCTGCGGCGTGCTGGTGCAGTACAAGGAGGCGTGCGGCCAGCAGTACCGCGGCCTCACCCAGGCAGAGCACGGACGCGCCGTCGTCTCTGCCCAGTGGGCGCACGACGAGGACATCAGCCGCTTCCTGCGCGAGCTGCCCAACTGGCTGAACCAGAAGCAGGGCGGCGCGGCGGCGGCGGCCGCCGCCGGTGCCGAAGACCTATCCGTGGAGGAGTCACCAGAAGAGGTGCGCGAGCGCAACCGGCGCGAGACCGAGATCCTCTCCGGCAACCTGGGTGACGGCGACATCGGGCCAGGCGAGGTGATCGCGGACGTGCAGCTGCTGCGCCAGCTAGCCTGGCTGCACGAGAGCCTGGAGTGGCTGGGCGGCTACGTGCAGAACATGGCGGCCGACCTCTCCGAGTCCGGCGCCGTGCCCGAGTCGTCTGCGCAGACGCTGACGCAGCTCGGCCGCGACCTGGAGGAGCTGGCCGACAGTGGCCTGCTCGTGCTGCACCTGGAGGTGCGCGTCCACTGCTTCTTCCACCTGCTGCCTTTGACGCGCCAGGGCCAGTTCGCGCCCAACCTGGACAGCTCTGAGCCGGACCCGGAGGTGAGTCGGCTGAACCGCGACCTCTCCTCCATCATGGACGTGCTGCAGACGGCGCTGCGCAAGCGCAAACTGCGCTACATCTTCGAGGGCCTGGCGCCGCTGGTGTCGAACCTGCTGATCGCCGACCTGCCGCACATCCAGCGCGTCAACGAGAACGGCGTCAAGAAGATGGTGCGCGACGTGCTGAGTCTGCAGCAGAGCATGACGAGCCTGACGATGGCGCGCGAGGTGGCGCTGGACCAGGCGCGCGCCTACTACGAGCTCCTGCTCAAGGACAGCGACGAGGTGCTGGCGGCGGTGCGCGAGCGCGGCGCCGCCTTCACGGAGGCCGAGTACGCGGCCGTGCTGGAGCTGCTGCACCGCAGCCAGCCGGGCGCGCCGGCCATGAGGCTGCACCGCACCCTCGAGCGGCTCTCGGACGTGATGTCGGGCGCGCTGGCAGCCGGCGCGCACGGCTACCCGCACGAGTAGGGCGCGGAGCCGAGAGACAGCCGAACTGTCTGCGGAGACTGCGACCGAGACGGACGCTGCCCAGCGGCGACCGAATCAGTATTTTCCGCTCAACGCTGGCATACCTTTTCGCTAGATTATTTGGTGGAAACACAGACGGTAGTGGTAAGCTTTAATGACTTCCTATCCTAGCAGCCTATCGCTTATAATTCGGGAGTTCGTAATCCGGCATTTTTATGGGTTTCCATTCATGTAGCCGAAGCTACCTGCCCACATATACACGCATATCGCACCTGTACCGAATATTTATTGTTATTCCAGCCGCCAGCGATTGCAGACTGATCATGTATTGGGGGATGCGGCGAACAGCTTTGATGAGTTTCGGTTGCACATTAGTTTTTTTTATAAGCCGTTTGTTGCTAGCCGGGATGAAGGGTGGCCAACATTGCTTTCTCACTGCGTCACCGAGTTGAGAAAACACGTCCTGGAAGTTTTGGTGTCTTGATAAGTTACATAAGGTATTCTGTGTAATACTAAATACCGTGTAACATTTACTTCACCGCTGCTTTTGTATGCATTCGATGTCTGTTTAAACCTCGGTTTGAACTGCTTGCCGGAATAAACCTTGGATATGTGCAGCAAATCTGTATTCAACTGTTGACTTTCTAGCCAGCTGCTCCACGGGTACTCTTGAACAGCCTCCGATAATATAGAAGTTATCTTTTCTCTGCCGCAATCTGCTTTTCGAACTATAAAAATGTGACTCCGCTACTCACTACTTCTGATTGGGGAGTAGTTTCCGCTACTCCGCAACTCTGCAACCAAACAGGTTGTCTGTGAACACGGAGTAGCGGACCAGCATTCCGCTACGCCCACCTGGCGTTTTGCAACATGCACATGGGACGGACTACATCTTGAGTTGCGATTAGCTGGTATTGGCCTGGGCTCCACCCGCCGCGCCGGGGAGGGAGTTGGAGTTGAGGGGGGGGGGGGGGGCGCTATCGGCCTGCTCTCTGCTCTCCGCAAGGCGCGGCTCAATCAGCGGTCTGTGGCAGCCGTAGCCGTGTACTCGGTTTAGACGATCGAGTGATTGTATCCGTTAAAGGAACTATCCCACCTTCTAAAATGTTGTTAAAACCAGTTAAATTGTGCACGACTTTATAGATTGGATGACCAGGAACACGGTTCTGGCATTTATTTTTCATTAAACATCTTAGGCTTCCCATATTCCAAACACAAACTTTCAAATATGTGACGTCACAGTCCAAAATTACCTCCTGCCCCAGGCCACATTACTGTCATAAAGCTGATTCTTTTTACTCTGTAGGCACCACAACAAAGTTCAGACCAAGTTTTAAGTGATTTTTCAACGAACAAACCCATTTAAATCAGAATGACTAAACGAGGTGACGTCACACTAACGGTCGCTCCATGTTGAAGATAGGACCTTGCGCAAGGCCCATTTTCAAATGAAGGGAACGAATTTCTTCAACACCAAGAGGCCGCGGGGGTTGCAACCTAGATAGATAGTGGTTTCTGAACCTCGCCGCAAACTTGGCTATCTCAACTCAAACCCCATGTTAAAGGTGGGATCCTTTAACCCTCGCCCTGGCAGGGGCGGGGGTTGATGCAACCCCCCCCCCTAAGGTTTTTCGAAGATAGCGTAAAAACGGCGGCGCAATTTGGCACAGCCTATGGGGCAACCTTTTTACATATGACCTGAAAATTTCAGGTCCGGGTGACCGTGGGTCAGGTCACCAGGTCAGAAAAACCGGTACAAGGTCATGGTCAAATTTCAATTTTCTTTTTGCACCTGTCCAAACCACAGTTTTGGACCGATTTCCTTCAAACTTTCAGGATATGCTAAGTTTACCGAGTTGTATAACATATAGTTCGGGTTTTTTGAGGTCAATGACCTGAGGTCAGTTAGAGGTCATTACGTCGTAATGTTAGCCTATGGGAAAATACTAAATTCGGAAAATACTGGAGATATTCGCTTTGTTTCATCACTTTTGTGCTTTGAAACCATAGTAATTAACAGCAGGTCACTTGGTGCTTCTTTGTTTGGTGTACTTATCCATGGGTCAGGTCAAATGAGGTCAACTGAGGTCAAATGACGTTTTTGCCAATCACTTGGCACATAATGACGCTAGAGCTTAAAAATGGTGTCATTGTGTTCCTGTTGATCAGCCGAATCAAATTATATGCGATATGATGCAATTTGCTTAACTTGAACTTATTATTTAAAGTTTACTTAAAAATTAAGAAAAACTTTAAGCACACTCAAGCAAGCAAACAACTATATCATTCGACGCGCCTTGACGTGCTGAGTTCACTGATGCCTTTCTTTTTTCTCTATCTTAATTAGATCAAAAGCTATAAGCGAAAAACTTTTGACCTGTTTTTAGCGAAATTTTTACATTTATACCCCCCAAAACCCCCCTAAATATTGACCTAGAGCAACCAAATTTGCACAGGGGCGAGAACTCCAGGGGGCCCACCTACCTACCAAATTTGGTGTTTCTATGTAGGTGCCATAGGAGCCAATCGCGAAGGGGGGGTCGCATCAACCCCCCCCCCCCCTGTCAGGCCGTGTTATGAAAATGCCCTGCCAGGGCGAGGGTTAATAATGAAAAGCGTGCATTTTGTCGGCCATTGCTGCGTGTCACACAACTGAAATTAATTGGCCCTCGAATGACTTCTTTCGACCATGTTACATGTGCCTCACGAAAGGGCATGGGTGCCGACCTCACAAGTGGGCATGGGGATAAAAGGATACAATTTCTGACACTATCTGCGCAGGGGTAAGGAGGCGCAGTGGGCCGGCCTCTGACACTGTGTCTGCCCGCAGGGGTAAGGAGGCGGAGTGGGCCGTCCTCTGACTCTGTCTGTCTGCCCGCAGGGGTAAGGAGGCGGACGGCGGATGGAAGGCGCAGCTGAACCTGCCGGAGCGGGACCGGCGGGTGAGAACCAGCGACGTCACCGCCACCAAGGGCAACGAGTTCGAGGACTTTTGTCTGTCGCGCGAACTGCTGATGGGTATCTTCGAGAAGGGCTGGGAGAAGCCGTCGCCGATCCAGGAGGCGAGCATCCCGCAGGCACTCAGCGGCCGAGACGTGATCGCGCGGGCCAAGAACGGCACGGGCAAAACGGGCGCCTACTGCATCCCCGTGCTCAGCCAGGTGGACCCGAAAATCGACGCCATCCAGGGTAGGTGGCGCTGCAGGGCGGCGCCCAGTCGTTCGTTACGCTGGGTTAGTCTGTGTGTGGGGGGGGGGGAGGGGAAGGGGCCGTAGTACAACTATTCTATTTTTAGTCTCTATTTGCATCAACAGCAGTGGTGTAGGAAGATTAAGTGCATTAGGAAGTAAGAATCGTCGTTTCACATTTCTCCATCAGTTTGTTAGGTGTCTGTTAATGTTTGGAGTTCCGTGTAGGTACTATTGTGGCGCCCAGTATCGCTCTGCGGACCACTCGCTGAGTGTCCTGCTCGCCCCGGTCCCGGCCGCCTAGTACCTATCGCTCTGCTCTGCGGACCACTCGCTGAGTGTCCCGCTCGCCCCGGTCCCGGCCGCCCAGTATCGCTCTGCGAACCACTTGCTGAGTGTCCCACTCGCCCCGGTCCCGGCCGCCCAGTATCGCTCTGCGGACCACTTGCTGAGTGTCCCGCTCGCCCCGGTCCCGGCCGCCGCCCCCGGCCGGTGTCGCGCCGCTGCTGACCGGTGCTCTGTTCGGCAGCGTTAATCATGGTGCCAACCCGCGAGCTGGCTCTGCAGACTAGTCAGATATGCATCGAGCTGGCCAAACACGTGGGCACCAAGGTGATGGTAACCACGGGCGGCACAGTGCTCAAGGACGACATCATGCGCATCTACCAGAAGGTGCACATGATCGTGGCCACGCCGGGCCGCATCCTGGACCTGATGGAGAAGCAGGTGTGCAAGATGGACCACTGCAAGACGCTCGTGCTCGACGAGGCGGACAAGCTGCTCTCGCAGGACTTTAAGGGCATGCTGGACCGTCTGATCTCGTTCCTGCCGGCGTCGCGGCAGGTGCTGCTCTTCTCGGCCACCTTCCCGCTCACAGTCGAACAGTTCATGGTGAGTAGTGCACGGGTCCAAACCCCCACCTTCCCGCTCACAGTCGAACAGTTCATAGTGAGTAGTGCACGGGTCCAAACCCCCACCTTCCCGCTCACAGTCGAACAGTTCATAGTGAGTAGTGCACGGGTCCAAACCCCCACCTTCCCGCTCACAGTCGAACAGTTCATAGTGAGTAGTGCACGGGTCCAAACCCCCACCTTCCCGCTCACAGTCGAACAGTTCATGGTGAGTAGTGCACGGGTCCAAACCCCCACCTTCCCGCTCACAGTCGAACAGTTCATGGTGAGTAGTGCACGGGTCCAAACCCCCACCTTCCCGCTCACAGTCGAACAGTTCATGGTGAGTAGTGCACGGGTCTAAACCCCCACCTTCCGCTCACAGTCTGAACAGTTCATGGTAAGTAGTGCACGGGTCCAAACCCCCACCTTCCCGCTCACAGTCGAACAGTTCATGGTGAGTTCATGGGTCTAAATCCCCACCTTCCCGGTCACAGTCGAACAGTTCATGGTGAGTAGTGCACGGGTCCAAACCCCCACCTTCCGCTCACAGTCTGAACAGTTCATGGTAAGTAGTGCACGGGTCTAAATCCCCACCATCCCGCTCACAGTCGCCAATTAATTTTGAGTGGCCACCCACCTGGTGTTCGCCGAGTGTTGCGATGTATTTGTGGGGCGACGGCGGTCCCAGTCCAGAACAGGCAGAATGACGGCGGATCGCTGGCAAAGCTATCTCATCTGACTGAAATGGTGCTCTAGTCCACTCGGTGCATATCCAGAAATATATCCCTGAGATGGTCTCGGCCGTCGCGTGACTGTACTGATCCACTGTCCGTATGTGCGAGGGCGACTACGTGCGGGCTGTAGGGACATTGGGGTGGGTGACATTGGTTGCGCGCTCCGAGCCTATACTCCTCCCGGATAACGGAAGGGGAGCAGGGGAACGCCGTCTGACGGACTCTGACCTCCCCCGGGGCCCGGGGGACGCCGTCGGACCGACTTGACCTGCCCGGGGGACGCCCTCGGACCGACCTGACCTGCCGGGGGGACGCCGTCTGACCGACCTGACCTGCCGGAGGGACGCCGTCTGACCTCCCCCGACCTCCCCCGTCAGCGGAAACACCTGCGGGAGCCGTACGAGATCAACCTGATGGACGAGCTGACGCTGAAGGGTGTCACACAGTACTACGCCTTCGTCCAGGAGAAGCAGAAGGTGCACTGCCTCAACACGCTCTTCTCCAAGGTAGGGAGGCCGCCGCCCGGTCCGTTCCCGGGCTATCCTCGGTGGTTCGGGTAGCGCCGACTAGGTGTCGCTGTGTTCGCCCGGGTGGCCGAGGTGGCACCGACTCGGCGGGGGGGCGGTGACTGTGTTCGCCCGTGTGGCCGAGGTGGCACCGACTCGGCGGGCCGGTGTCGCTGTGTATCGTGTGGCCGGGTGGGACCGACTCGGCGGTGTCGCTGTGTTCGCTCTGTGGCCGAGGTGGCTGACGGAGGTGGCTGATAGATAGCAGTGACTCAGGTGACGACTGTATCGCGCCTTGACAGATGACTGGTAGTGAGGTGTCAGTTTCAGAAAATGTATGTCCAATGTCCTTCCAATGTCCAATACTTGCGTCGACTGTTCGTCCAAAAATGTCCAAGCCAGCCATTTGTCCAAAGATGTCCGAAACCTACGCAATAGTCAAAACTTAACCCTCGCCCGCACATGCCATTTTCCCATCCTAGAACGCACATGGGGGGGGGGGGGGTGGTTGCCACCCCCCCCCCCGCGCCATTTCGTTCCTGTTGGAGATAGAGCTTAGCAGTAAAGACCAAAAAGATTCTTTGGGAAGAGACGAATCCAATGATACCCAGTTTTACCTTCTCAGGTCAGTCATTGACCTTCCAGGTCAGGTCAAACTAAAAAATGTTGCTGTTTTGGGTCACCGTTGGATATCAAGTGCGCTGCTTATCAAATACCGATGACGATGCTGTTTTCTGGTGCCAAGCCAGCTAGAACCTCTTTGTCACACTATCCGACCAGAATTTTGCTGCTGAGGTCATTTCAGGTCAAGTTAGGTCAAGGTCAATTATATGTGTTTGTATGTCTGTGTGTGTCTGTGTGTATACTGATGTGTGCACCGATTGTTTTTGGGTCCATATCACATGAAATCATGATCTGAGAAGCTTTTACCAAAAATGCAGTCAAAAAACTTCACAAAAAGTAAATTCAGCTTGCCTAAAACGCAATTATCTTAGATGACCTAGGTTGACCTTGACCCTGACCTTGACCCCTGTACATCGTCGAACAACATGTTCCATGATAGGTGGGAGGTAAGACTGGCAAAAAAGGCCGAAATCAGGGTGTCAAAAGCTCACAAGGCCCATGGCAGACGCAAGATGTTGAGAATTGGCCATTTGGGTCATGACATGACCTGAAAAACAAGGTCATATCTCCGAAACCAAAAATCACAGAAACTTGAAATTTTCAGTGGACATCAAGAAAGGATAGACGAGCAGCTATACGAAAAATCAGTCTTCTAGCTCTAAAAATGTTGAGTGCAGAGCAGAAAGACTGCCTGGGGGGGGGGGTGGCAACCACCCCCCCCCCCCCATGTGCGGGCGAGGGTTAATACTGTTATTTAATATGCTTTTAATGCACTATTACCAGCTCAAAAGCTTTCTATTCGCCAACCAATGTTCAATACGATTACTTCATAAAAAGGCTGAGGTGTAGCAATTGATTGCCTAAAGTTGTCCAAAGCCTGCTGTCATTGTACAACCAAATTCCGAATTTGACATTGGACAAAATCGGAATTCCGAAGATTCAAGTTCTGATTGACACCACTTATGGTTGGTGCATGATAGATGGTCACTTCACAACGACTCGTTTGGCGCTGGCCTTTCTAGGCGTGTTGCTGATAATGTGAAAATTGATTTTACTCAGCGACACGTTATTGGATAGATGGTATGGTGTCTGTGCCCGCTTATCGGCTACCTACAGTAAATGAAATTGGGAGGTGATTACTAACCGGTCGGCGTTCTGTGTTTCAGCTTCAAATCAACCAGAGCATCATCTTCTGCAACAGCACACAGCGCGTCGAGCTGCTGGCCAAGAAAATCACCGAGCTGGGCTACTCGTGCTACTACATCCACGCGCGCATGCAGCAGTCGCACCGCAACCGGGTCTTCCACGACTTCCGCGCCGGCCTCTGCCGCAACCTCGTCTGCTCCGGTACGTCATAGTGGCGTGCAGTCTGCTCCGGTAGACCGCAGTCTGCTCCGGTACGTTATAGTGGCGTGCAGTCTGCTTCGGTAGACTGCAGTCTGCTTCGGTAGACTGCAGTCTGTTCCGGTAGACTGCAGTCTGTTCCGGTAGACCGCAGTCTGCTCCGGTACATTATAGTGGCGTGCAGTCTGCTCCGGTAGACCGCAGTCTGCTCCGGCTCGTTAGTTTGCAGTCTATTCCAGTACGTCAGGCTGCAGTCTGTTCCGGTGCGTTAGGCCGCAGTCTGCTCCGGTACGTTAGGCTGCAGTCTGCTCTGGTACGTTAGACAGCCTCGTCTGATCGGGTACATGAGAGCGCTGACAGTCCTGGTACAGGGACCCGCAGTTGCTACTGTACACATATATTACCGATTTAGAATTGCGCTATTATTTGCTAAGTGCTGGCCATTGGAGAAAGGAAATGTAGTGCAAAGTATGGAGGAATAACACATGTTTGCTCCTAGGACGTATGTTTTGTATAATTCCTCTTACCGCAACAGATATTCTTCCAAAACTACAATCGTGCTATTTTCCCGCGCCGGTTGCCTCCCCAGAGCCCGTCCTTGGTATCGCCTATAGCTTCCGTTCCCGCTACGTGAATGAAAGTCACGTGACTACTACAGGTTTGCGCTCAGTACTAACACACCTAGCCCGAGGGCCGGTCCGTAGCGGGGAGGGGTAGAGCGCCAGAGCTCCAGCGCAGTGGAGGTGGTGGTGGCCCGTATCATAAAGAGGCAACCGTAAGCAGAACTACAATTGCCGCAGTATAAGATTATGATCAAGTTTTCTTTAGATGTATTGATTGACAAGAACGTGCAATGCTTATCCGATATGATAAAACGGTGTCCAAGACCTTGGAAGAACTAAAAAACATATTCAGCAACGTATAAATTTCTGATACAGGCCATGACCTTTCACCTTGCCTCCGGGGAGGACCGCTCAGGAAGCCACATACCGAACGAATCGAGGTCTCGCAGCGCGGCGGAAGAGGAGGTGGATAAACCATCGCCAGATCTTTCGGTTACTTATGTTGAAGAAGGGAGGGAGTTGAAGGTGGAGGGTGAGGGCTGTTTTCATCCCACTCACCAATCCTTTCCTTATTAACTTATAGCTTACCGAAAAATGCAACACAATGGTGGCCGTCACGAGATGTAGCGAAGAGTGCCTCAGCCACACCGGTTTTGAGTAAACTTTAAGCATTGGAATTCAGGCCAGTGATCCTGAAGCATTATTTTATTTTTGTCGTGCATAAGCTGGGATGACGTGGTTCAAGTTAATTGCGAAGAAACGGTTTTAGTTTCAGATCATTTATGAGGCTAGTCGCGCCAAATAGTATACGTTTGTTGCAAAATGTCAAATAGAATGTTGACGTGCTATCTAGATGATGGAATTTATTTGACACAAGAAGTCAAAAAGTGGCATCGTTAGTCATCCTGCATACCTATAAATCGATTCGTCACCTTGGTTCGAGCTCAATAGTTCTTTTCGCGGATGATCGGTTTCGTTTTCTTTTTTTTTTGGGGGGGGGACAGATTATGAGCCAGTAACCACCCTCCCCAGTCCCCCAAACAACAATTGTTGACAAATACTGTGATGGCCTAAAAAATGCCCTCAATTATGTTACGTAGGGGAGAATGAGGTAAGTTGAGCCGCTTTTTGTTTTTCATAAGCTACAGGCTAACTTACTGATCATTTTTCTGCGTTTACGGGTTGGACGGACAGAGTGGTGATTTGCGCATGTAATGGTGGCCAGAAATGTTTCATACCGCTTATTTTTGTACTGAAAAGGCTACGTCAAAAATCATCTTGCACGTTGCTCATCTTACCCCATGGGCGGGGTAAGTTGAGACACGTCGTGGGGAAAGTTGAGCATGGATAGAAAAGCGAACCTTTTCTTTTCGCGGGCGCGGCGAAGAGTGGGCTCTTTTATTTACTCCATGGCATAGAATACTTATGGCAAAGTTTTTTTTCCTCCATCAAAAAGTGACTGTTTTAAGCCTTCCAATAGCTCGTCAAGTTTTCTATCACGGAAGAAATCATTTTATCCTTCAGATAATCTGCAAATCACTTACAACTTGTGTAATCAACAAAGAAAAACAATTTCCTACCATTTTTATTCAGCAGAAACAAGCGCAGCTCAGTTTGGTTTTCGACAGCGGAGACAACAATGGCTTACCCGGCTCATTTTCCCCAGGTGAAAATGGCTCATCTTGCCCCACCCGTGGCCATTTTCGATTAATGACACCCGCTAAGGAAAATAACCATGCACCGCAGATAACAACCATCTCATTTTCTCATTTCAAAGGCAAAACATGTCTTAGTTATCAGGGGCGATACCACATGTTACCGGGTGCTGAGTGTGAGAACGTTGCCGTCTCACGTGAAAGACTGCAGCATCGTAAGCGAACGGCACATGGAAGCTCAAGTCAATTAGCGCCATAGGAGCTGAGAAACATGGGGTGGCTAAACTTGCCCCTTGGCTCATCTTACCTCACTCTCCCCTATTTGGGGCTCTCAACTTTGATTTGTTTAAGTTTTTTGTCTGTTCATTATAAAAGATGTCAAATTTGCCGTATCATTAAGCTTTTATTGAGTTTGTATTTCACACTTATGATGCTGATGCTAAAATGAACAATTTTGTCACTGGCTTCTTTTATGAATGGAATTGGATGGTCGCATGAATTAACGAATGAATGGCTCCATTTGAGCATCAGCTGAAATCAATCCTAAAATTTAATCTACCAGTCTGCAACGAAAAGGTTTAAAAACCAGTGCAAGTTAGGTGTAGTTTCTAATCTATGCCGTTTTTTATTAAGTGTCTCATAGCTCCTTAATCTTGAGCCGCTTCTCTTACGATTCATTTTATGTGGTGCTTACATTGTTCAAGAAGTTATAGTATTCGAGCTCGTTGGTCTTAAAAACTGCTATCGAAGTAAATTAAAGTGCTTCGGCACTTAAAAACCAATCGATATTTAACCCTCACCCACTTAGGCATGTCTTTTCAGCGTCTTACATGTAGCGGAGGGGCGTAGAAACCCTCAGTCATTCGGCCCTTGATAAAAATAGCCAGAGCTTCGCTGAAAAATAAAAAAGAGCGAGCTGCTCGTGACGAGAGAAATCCGATGATTTGAGGGTCCTGGTCATCGCTGACGAGAGAAAGCCAATTATTTTTATGTCCTGGTCAATGCTGAGATCCTAGGTTACTGGTTGACCTCCCAGATCAGGATAATAACCCAAAAGCACAGAAAATTGGGTCCCGCTAGAATTTCTACAAGTGAAGTTTGCTGGGACTTGGCTTGTTTCTGACTCCGAATTTGCACTTGCTTTGATCAAAGATGATGTATCAAAGCATTTGGGGTAGGACGGGTCACGCCAGATCACCCATTAGGCGTTCTGCCGGCTATCCATAGATTATAGAATGTTAACCAGCACTTACAGCCTTGCAACATATTGCATAGGCACTGTAACTGATACCTAAGTATGCCTAGTTTTCAAGTGCTAAAATGAGTGCTAAATTTCAAACCAACACTTCCTAAAAACCACAGTAAAAAGGTGTAAATTTAAGGAAGTTAACCGAAATCATTTCAAGTAAATGACCTTAACCTGAGTTTCACGTGACCTTGGCACCCACAACAATCAATGAGACAAACAAACATTAGATAGTATATTTCACATGTTGTCACGTTGCTAAATCACGAAACGACTATGGAAACACACAGAAGACGTGCGCTGACTTTCAATTGCTATTCTGGCCTGACATGATCTTGAGAAAAATAATCACAGGTTAAAGGTAATTTGGTTCAGAGATTTAAAATTCTCAGACAAGATGGAAAAATGATAAGGGCTATTTAATTTTCCGGGAAGTTGTAAAATTGATTAACTCCAGGGCACCAAAGAATCGTCGCAATCCTTCGCTTTGCCGCGATATATTGGTGAAAAACAGGGGGCGCGGTCTACTTACCTCTACTTATATGTGTGGTGAGGGCTAATATTCATTTTATCTGTGTTGATGAATATGCAACAATTTCTACATGAACTGAGACCAGTCCATAAGAGTATGTTTTGCTCACGGACAATGACAATATAAAAACAATGCGAATAAAACCAAACGTTTCGGACAACAACGTGCCTTCGTCAGTGGAGAAAAATAAGTGTATAGGTTTAACATCGATGAGAACTATATGCGGCACCGTCTCGGTCTGGCCAGCCGGGTTGCCGATAGAATACACAAATGTTTATAAGCTTCCGTGATGTGCTTAAAAGACTGCTGAAAATATATCTTTAAAAAAATAAGATAACTACTTCATCGATTTTAGCGAAAGAAAACATGTATGCCTAATTACTTATTTCTTGCCACTGACGGAGGCACTTTTTTGTGCAAAACGTCTGGTTTTATTCGTATTGTTATTGTATTGTCATTCCCTGTGAGAAAAAAGGATAACTCTTCAGTTAGTAACCATAACAGCGAAACGGCTCAATGTAACACAATTCACTGTGTATACGAAACCTATAATTGTCCCTAAAAATAATCCTATTTACAACTTTTAAAAAAAATACAGCCTATACAGCTTAGGCATACAATTTTTTTCTGCATTAAGATAATATTCATTTATCTTCACAGAATATGGTAAATTAGTGCTGCTGAAGTTCGCTTTCGAAGCGTGTCCTCCAAGCATTCCACAGCTCTCGTGCCATTTTGGATCACGGAACATGGCTGGGCGCAGGACAGGCCGTCTGCGAGCTTGGACGGACCACGTGACCACCTCCTCCCCTCCCCCTCACCCCCGTCCCCTTCCCCAGCAGGGCGTCCGATCTAACCGCGCCCCAGGCAGTCGGCTCGGTCCGACCCTCCCCTGTCGAGCCACGGCCGCCTGAGTTTGTGCCGAGTGCAAAACTGGAGCAGTAACTAGCGCCGGAACTAGTAGTCAGCACGACCATCGTCAGATGGCAGGAGTAAATGGAATAAGCGGTTCCAGGTTTCAGAAGGAATGGGGCAGGAAAAAGCGCTGAAAACAATGTTTTGCTGATATAGCCATAAAAAGTTCACTGAATTAGGAGAGCAGCACATCAGTTTAAAGCCCTTCAGATGGTGGTTTTAATAAGCACACAATCATTTCCCAATTCGCCTCCAACGGTGTCACAGGCAAAGAATACGCTGAATTACTAGTGTGTACAGAAGCAACTGCGGGTCCCTGTACGTGTGCGGGACGGCGGGACACGCCGACAGTCCTGGTACGTGTGCGGGACGGCGGGACACGCTGACAGTCCTGGTACGTGTGCGGAACGGCGGGACACGCTGACAGTCCTGGTACGTGTGCGGGACGGCGGGACACGCCGACAGTCCTGGTACGTGTGCGGGACGGCGGGACACGCCGACAGTCCTGGTACGTGTGCGGGACGGCGGGACACGCTGACAGTCCTGGTACGTGTGCGGGACGGCGGGACACGCCGACAGTCCTGGTACCGGTGTGCGGGACGGCGGGACACGCCGACAGTCCTGGTACGTGTGCGGGACGGCGGGACACGCCGACAGTCCTGGTACGTGTGCGGGACGGCGGGACACGCCGACAGTCCTGGTACGTGTGCGGGACGGCGGGACACGCCGACAGTCCTGGTACGTGTGCGGGACGGCGGGACACGCCGACAGTCCTGGTACGTGTGCGGGACGGCGGGACACGCCGACAGCTTCGTGCCATTCGCCACCCCGAGCTCTGTCCATTCTTCCCGATAGCCAACGGTCGGCTCAGTACATGAAAGCTGTATTGGCAAGAACTAGGGGTGTCCTGAAAGTTCGTCGGGTTGGGTTGTTTTGTTTTCTTGCGTTGACTGCACGGTCGGCCAGCCGCACCTTTCACACTGAATCATTGTGCAAAGGCTACTTTATCGCTATTTCCCTGGCCACCCTCCGATGTTTCCTAAAGCCAAATAAACAAGCCAACAAACGAGTACTCGTTCCTGATCGTTCCTGACCGCAAGGGTATTCTAGTTTCCTCTAATGGTGATGTTATTCCCGGCCTTTATTTTGTATTGCCATTGCTACCTTCAGTATAACACAGCGTCTAGTTGCGGTGGACGGAATGCGACTACTATAGTGTACAAGTCTACGACTGGGCTGCCTGCCACAGTCAGCAGACTGTTGTCCCGTGCTGACCCGGCCCGCCTCCCGTGCTGACCCGGCCCGCCTCCCGTGCTGAGCCGGCCCGCCTCCCGTGCTGAGCCGGCCCGCCTCCCGTGCTGACCTGGCCCGCCTTCCGTGCTGACCCGGCCCGTCTCCCCGGCAGATCTCTTCACGCGCGGTATCGACATTCAAGCGGTCAACGTGGTCATCAACTTCGACTTTCCGCGCATGGCGGAGACGTACCTGCACCGGATCGGCCGCTCGGGTCGGTTCGGCCACCTGGGAATCGCCATCAACCTCATCACCTACGAGGACCGGTTCAGCCTGCACCGCATAGAGAGTGAGCTCGGCACCGAGATAAAGCCCATCCCCAAGGTGATCGACCCGGCCCTGTACGTGGCCGAGTGCCACCAGGAGGCCGATCCGGAGCTGGAGGCGGCGCAGGCGCGCCAGTAGGCGCCGCCACCACCCACTGTACATAGGCGGCGCGCCGGCGCCGGCCACAACCGTTTCTGACTCCGTTTTTCTAGCGATAAGACTGCGCCGACGCGCGGCGAATTGGCCGGCACCAGCCATCTCACTCTCCGCTGTCTCCCCTCGAAATTCGTCGCTGCTCGACCCGGCCGCGGACAGGGCAACATATCGGCCGGCGCAGCTACCGCGGCGCCCCCTCCTAGTGGCGAGTCGCCGCTCGCAATACAGAAGACTATGAGGCGCACCTCCGGGTGCCAGGCGGCGTCAGAAGGAACACGCGAACCGTCACGTCTGTCAAGGGAAGTGTTTGCAGCCGCGCGACTCTGAAGCAGGTCAGCGAGTGACCGTGAGCGCGCTCCCACGAGGCGCTCGACTCATTATTTAAGCTTATCTGTACACATCCAGTGCTCCCGTGGTTATTTGAGAAGGCACTGTCCCTGGCCGGTAACTATATTGCAGCATTGCGTCCTTTAACCGGAAGAGCGATTATTTTGCGTTATTTGGCGTGGTTGACGTCCCATTTGGAGCCGGCTACCATTGTAACAGTTGCTCTCTGAGAAGTGAGGGGCGCTCTTTGTTGGCTCATTGCGCGGCGCCCTGGCCGGTGGGGCTGTGCGGTTTCGGACGGCGCCAGCTGCGCTCTGTTGGCGGCCACATGAACAGACATGTCCGAGTTTAGAAGTGATATGGGACACAGGTGCGAGACTTATGGGACGCGAGTGTAAGACGTATGGGACGCGAGTGTGAGACGTATGGGACGTATGGGACGCGAGTGAGTTGGTGAGTGAGGCGCGGGTGTCAGTTGGTGAGTGAGGCGCGAGTGTGCGACATGTGTATGTGCCGCGAGTGCGGTGTGAGGTGTGGCGTGTGTGTGTTGTGCGCGCGCGCGCGGCCGTCTGCCGGCGCGCGCGTCTGCCGCCAGTGGTGACCGAGTGGTGCGCGGCGAGGGACCAGGAGCGCGCGCGGCAGGCCCTCAGTGCTGTGATCAAGGTCGGAGCTGCGGCGGCTCCAGCGTACAAAGACGGTCCGGCGTCCGCTCCGGGCCGGGCCGGGGCCAAATCGGGCGGGCGTGTAACACCTCTCGGCCAGTGACGGGACGCGACACCAGTGACGGCGGCTCGACCGCCTCCAAATTGTAACGGGAGGGGGGACGGGTGTCTGGCTGCTGTGGGGCTCAGGGGTCCCTGCCGGACGGCCGTGCGGTATCTAACGAAACGGACCCGCCGAGCTCTCTTTGGCCGACGGGCCGGGGCTGTTTGCGACCAGGGACGTGTTTCGGCCAACCGTGATAAAGTGATTGTAGTGTGCCGCCGGCAGCGGACGGGGACGGGTCAGTGGAGAGCCCGGCCGGCTCTCCCGGATGTAACTACGGACTTGAAAAAGAGGCGTGTCTGCGGTTTTAGGCGGAAATCGTTGTGCTGAGACCTGAACATGTTGTCTGGGTTCCTGACCCTCTGGGTGGTATTCTCTTCTGACTTGTGTAGTGCTCGTTTGTTGCGGCCAATAAAGTGAAATCGCCTCCAGGCTGTCCTGTTGCCGGCGCTCCGCGGTGGGACTGCCGGACTGCCCGTCCTGGCGGCCCGGCAGAGCTGCGTCGGCGCACCGCTCCTGCAGGGCCCGGCCGTGTGGAAGGGGAGGGCTCCCGTCACAGTGCAGCCATCGGCGGGCAGAGTCCCGTCACTGCACCCGAGATTCGGACTGCACGGGGTCGGCGCCACCTGTGTGCCTTGGGTGGGGTGCGATCGCTCCACTCTGGCTGTATCCATCATTCCCCGCGCCCGGCTGGGTCTCGGCCAGCTTCACAACGGGGATTAACCCGGCACCGCCTGGGCTATTTCCGTACCCACGACAGCCTGGGGGGGATCGGATCCGACCCCCCCCCCTGTTATCTCGAGAACCAATGGTCGTATCGAGCCCCGCGAGTCGGCGTTCGAAAGGTCTCTACGAGACCTTCCCAAAGCACTCTCAAGATTTTAAGATTGATGCCAGCTTTCGGGTCAAGATCAGGTCAAAGGTCAAATTCTGGGGTTTTGCATAATTAGGCTTACGGACAGCGGAATCGATAGCTGCTGCTCGAAACTCACCAAAAATGACCGCAAAGACCTAGTGAAGGTACCATGTGCGACTGTGCGTATAGGGGTCATACTAAGTACGGGTCAAGGTCAGGTCAGGCCCATGTCGTCCCCTATCTCCCTGTGTGTCCAAGTGCACAGATGACGTCACATGAAGGGGCGGAGTCGGGGGCGGAGCCTGGCGCAACGGCCGCCATATTTGAATTTGTTTTATTAGAATGTACTCTATATTTTGGGTTTCAGTCAATTGTTATCGATAGTTTTATGAACGGTTAGCTGTAATATAAGTGATTTATCAAGAAAAAAACACATATTCTGCTTGCAATTTCGATTTAAGTACGACCCGCGCTTAGATTCGAACGCACGATCTCTGGATTAGGGCGCAAGCATCCTAACCACTACCCTATCGCGGCGGCGTGGCGGTCGGGGGAAGGGAGGCTGCGAAGTCATGGGGGCTTTTTTACGCATTTTTGGAAAAACTAATGGGTTTAGTGAAAAACGCTTCTTAGATAATTCGAAGAAAAATGTCTCGGCTTTCCGATGATGCACTTAGTTCTGCCGTCCAAAGGCAAAAACGCATATGCCGGGTCATGACTTGACCCGACATATGCGGTTTTGCCTTTGGACGGCAGAGTTTTGTGCTAGCTTTAGCAGAGTTTGTTCTACAGCGCTTCAAAAATCGCCCATTTGCATAGACGCCCCCAGACGAGCTGACGTCACGATCAGGTAGAATCGCCGGACGACCCTACCTGGTATATAGGGCCTTGGGTCAGGTCACGAAAGGTCACGGTTTTCACTTTCTGCTACATGGACGTGCGACACATGTTTTATGGCTTATTTTTCACGCCGAATCCGATGGTAATGGTTATATGGGGCATTCCACGATAGATCGTACCACTTTTTTCCAATTTGACACCCTCATCTCTCGGAATTTGACGAGAATTGGTCTCAGGGGTAATCAGGGGCTCTGAATCCACCTGTAACAATTTCAGGCTTATCAGATAAGTATTTTTTGAGTTATGGTGTATAACATTTTTTGGATCTTGCTTTGCAGCGCTAAGTTTGGCGGGCTGTAACTCTAAGACGGATTATTCAAATGCCAAATGTTATATAACATTGAACTTGCAATGAAACAGAGATTAATATGTATTTTTGAAATTTCGAAAAATACGCTATTTTTGATATATGACATATCGAGTTTTCTTTCATTTGTATTTTTTGGACTTTGGGACCAAATTTTTTTGAATTTTTATTTCTTTAGAAAAATATTTGGCTCATTGTTAACCCGCGACCTGGTGGGGGGGGCTATTTTTTGCCCCCCCCCCCCCTCCAGACTTTTCGATATATCTCCAGAACCGCTGCGCCGATCGTCACCAAACTTTCAGTACCCTCCCGGACATCAATTTTACACATTGTGACCAAAAATTTTTCCAAAGGCTATGATAGATTGGCCGGAAATGACGTCAGAGTGACGTCATGTTCTGCCGTTTTCGACCCAAAAAAGGGTTTCGCGGGAAGAGCTGTCAGGCCTACAGCTTTGCAAATACAGAAAAATGATAAATACATAAAAGCTGTAGATTGGACAGGGCTACAAAACTGCTATCTCGGATTTTTGAATTTTTTTTGGATTTTGACCCCCAAAAATCAAAAATAGATTTTTTGGATATAATAATCGAAAAATCCAAAAAGTTTTTTGAATTTCGCAAAAAACCGGAATATATGTGATAGTCCTTACCGCCTTTCATCCACATACCAAATTTGAGATTGATACCTCTTTTTTTGGCGAAGTTATAGCGACAAAACTGTTCAAAATTGATGACGTCAAATTTTCAAACTTAATTTTTAGCAATTCTAGACCCCGTAGCGCAAAACAAAGACCACCATTAGACTCCCCGTGACGAGCTGCATCGAATCAATACCCATTTTATGCAAAACTATCAACTTTAAAATTTGACCTTTTTTGGCCTGACCTTGACCTGACCTTGACCTGAACTTCACCAAAAAGTGACCTAAGCCGTACCTGATAGTCTTATAACCAACACCATTGAGTTGGAAATGAAAAATTGGCCATAAAACATGTATCACACAACCTTAGTAAAGTTGGGCTCATGTGACCTGACCTGTGACCCTTGGTGACCTGACCTGTGACCTGACCTGGTATTGCCAGTGACATCTAATAGCAACATATCTACTAGGCAACTGACGCCCTACCGCTAATTCTCGACAAAATGCGTTTTCCTCGGTGTTATAGCGCATTCCCTAGAAGACCCGTGAACGGTGAAACATTTCATCTTTGACCTGACCTGTGACGTCATCGGTGACCCCGAGGTCAATGAAATTGGGTTTTCTTCGACAAATTTGACAGGCCTTTCGAACGCCGTTTGAATTTTGCGGATCCGTCCAGTAGTTTCGGAGATACGAGGGGGGGGGGCAAAAAATAGCCCCCCCCCACCAGGTCGCGTTATAAACAGACCCCACCAGGGCGCGGGTTAATAAGTATGCGAAAAATTAGGAAGGTGTTCTTTCTATAAATGTATTTATTTTACGTCACGATAACGGTTTCGAATAGTGATTTCGGGAGGGGAGCTTACAAATGGTGTGGTAAAGCTGCCTAGTGACATCACGGGTTACTGAAATTTCAATTCAAGTCTGAGTCATCTGAAAAAAAGTGAAAAGAGGGTTCATTCAACCCTCTTTCCTATAAGCGCGAGGGTGAAAAAGGCTGTTTGGTTCTGACATTGTTTTGGACGCCAATGACCATATAGCTGTCCGAGATGAAAGTTACAGGACGCATACATGGTGTCCTCCAGAGGTCTCACAACTTGTATATCTGGGAATTTTTCAAGGTTATATGAGATCAGGTCGGTCACGTGACATCACTGTTATAAATCAATGGGGAAATATAAAAACTGTTATTTTGGCGCCGAGAATGATCTAAAACTATCCCACGTACATGGTATCGTGATTTCATGCACTCCTTGCAAAGTCAAATGCTTTACTTTTGCATTGTTAACCTTGCGTGACGTCATTTATGAAGTCACTAGGGTCGTACGAGTTTTTCGTCAATAACTCCCGATCAAATAGAGCTAGGGAGTCGGGAAAGCCACCAATGGACTCGGGAAGACCTTCCGAATCGAATGATATCCCATATGATACCCTTTGCCCAGCTTCGTGACCTGAGGGGCTCTGACCTGACCTTGACCCGAGGTCAACTACTTAAGTTGACCTCACCCTAGCAAAAAGTATACCATTCGATGCACCTGAGCTAGGCAAACACAATGATGCCAAAATCGCGGCTCTGCGGCCATTTTTTGCGAAGTTATTTACTAAAAACCGAACCCGTAACTTCAGTCACGTGACCTGGCCTCAGACGCTACCGGTTAACCTGAGACCTTAAAATTGGGTGTCAATCGCTGCGACTTGTAATGGCACACACGCCCGTTTTTTCCGCGAGGCTCTAGCTCTATTAGAAGCGAAACGGCGTGCTGGGGTCGTATCAACCCCTCCGAAACCCATTTTGTTTGCGGGAAAATGAGGAACTTACAGAAAGAACACCTTTCTAATTTTTTGCATGTCGATTTGCAATGACATGAAGATTATTTTGAAAAAATAAAAATGTAAAAAAATTTGGTCCCAAAAGTCATTAGAGGCAAATGAAAAAAGATTAAGGTTTTTGCTCAATAATGAAATTTTTTCTTTGGAATTTTTAAATAGTAATATTAATTTTTGATTCATCGCAAGCTTAGTGTTGTTTACTTTTTGTTGGTTGCTTAACCCGTTCTTGAGTTATAGGCCATCAAACTCACCGTTACATACCGAAGTTAAAAAAATGTAATGCAATATAACTCAAAAAGTTTTGATCTGAGAAGTCTGATATTTTGCCAGGCGTCTTTGGGGCCTATGATTACCCCTAGGACCGATTTTCATTAAAATCTGAGAGATGAGGGTGACGGGCCTGGTACGATCTATCGTGGAATGCCCCATATGTGACCCCAAGTCACTGTGCTGGTGATAAGTGTGCATTGAAAGCATGAATGATCGTTTATACCATACATAACTAGACGATGGCTAAGAAAGTCAATTTTTCAACTTTTTATTTTTGACAAAATTCCATTTTTCTAGACGAACTTTGTCCCAGGAATCTAATGGTGCAATTTGTTTTCACATGCGATGTTCAGAAGTGCCTCTAATTCACGAAAATGCTTATGACGTCACCATGCCCTATGCATGTTGGAACTATTTTTTACAATTTTGGGGTCAAAAATCAAGATAGAAAGTTGAAATTTGGGACATCTAATGTTCTAATATAGCTCTATAACATATATTCCGTTTTTTGAAATTCTCAAAATTTTTGATTTTATTAGTTGTTTTCCAAAAATATAGTTTTTTTATTTTTAGGGGTGAAAAACGTAATTTATGGAAAATCCGAGATTGCCATTTTAAAGAACTCG